CATCCGCTGATCAACTCTACAATTACAATCAGGACAAATATTAAAGAAATGAAAACGATACCACTTGTGTACCCAAAGATATCAGGTCTAATCAGTTTCACAAATAAAAGAATAATTAAAGTGATGACACCTGGACACATTAAAACGGACTTACACAACGAAAAACAATGAAAATAAATACGAACTTTCGTTGGTTTTGTTGTATTTTGTTTCGCATCAATGGGAAGATATTCTTCGTCTTCTTTCTCACAAAAATTCACAAGAAAACCACACGAAAGAAAATTCACTACAAATTGTACTAAGAGTGGTAATAAAACATATGATATAGAAAATATGTCAAACGAGTATATAACAAACAAGACCGTTGTTATAAAAACAACGAATGGAAATAACGCAGTTGCTCCAATATGTGGAAAATTCACAAGGACTGCAAGAAAGTATAAATAGAGTGGTGTCGGGTAAAATACAAGTTCAGTGGGTTGCTTTATATTGATATCGGTAACATGTATCATACAATTCAACCAATAGACTCCGATAAAAACGTCAATTGAAAAAGGGAGTAATAACAAAGAGATATATCCAGTGTTAATATCAATAACACCATCAAGGGAAAGGGGGTATAACACACTAAACGCTAATAAACATGAAAATGTGAATACATCTACTATGTGATTTGTAAATATAAAAAATAAGAGTGCGTATAACTGCTTTTTAAAATAAATGGTCCATTTTTTGCTTCTGCACACCTTGTTCGATATTTGAGCTGCATTATTGATGTTTTGAAGTGTATAAAAAGTAATAAATGAATTTCTATCAAAAGCTTGTTCTTTGGAAAGAGTTTTATATATGATGTCATCGTTCTGTAATTGAGAGTATGTGGAACATGTTTCTGTTATATTGAGAAATGTACGAATATCACTACGAAGTGCTATTTCTTTCACAACTGAGAGAGGTAGTGTTATATGAGTCGACATCTTTGTTTTATTTCTTATTATTAGTTACTTAAAACGATTTTTATAGTAAATATAATAATTTTATTTTGAAAAAAACTTGAAATACTTTTATACTATCGCTATACTATTATTATTAACATTTTTGTATAATTTCAAAAGACTCAGATGTTAAAATATATAGTTAAATTATAATATAATAAAAAAAATATTATTTTATTAACATAATAGTATCTGAATTATGATATTTATGTAAATCAAAAAATCATGTTTTTGTGTTTAAAACTTTCATGACCATTTAATAATTGGTTTTGATGAATGAAAAAAATTATATTTTATAATCTTATTTGTTAAAGTTGGTTATTTAAAAAATAATAACTTATATAATTTATAATTTATTATTTTTATTGTATTTTAAACAACAACAAATACTAATAAATAAGTTTTTTGTAACAACAAAAAATAAAAAATGGTTATAAAAGACGGATATCACATGATGATAGTTTCGAAATAATTTAAGACCATTAATGACTTCGTTTCACTTGAATTGGTGAATACTAAATTCAGAGGTACCATTTAAATTTTTCACTTCAACCCAATACCACTCGACACAACATCAATAAAGTACTTTGTGGACATTGAGTCATTAAACATTTGGAATACAAAAGAAGAGACCTTTGGTAACGAATTTTAAAAACCAGTTGAAATTACTAGAAAATCTATAAATCCAAATAAATACATATTTTTCAAAATAGTAGTGTGGTACAATGTCGATTATAACACTTTTGTGATAAACAAAAATTCTAATTTCTTATTCACAGATGTTACATTCACTAAGAATGACAGAC